TTAAAGAATACAATATAAAATATTACGTAGATATAGTATTAATAATCATGAAACCACAAGTTCCACATAGCTGTTGATGAAATTACTCAAAGATTTCGGTTGCTTTTCCAAATATAAATCAATGAAAAGAAAACAAAGATAATAGCAAGGCACTTATCTTTTAAGGAAGAAAATTCTGTGTAAAAAGAATCTGGATATGAAATCACAAAAGATGCAGTGAAACATTTAGGACTTTACTTGACAGGATGTAGCAAAGACATTATAGGTAGTCCTTGACCTATGACCACAACTGAGTTCAAAATTTCTGTTGTTAAGTGAGACATTTGTTAAATGAGTTTTGTCCCATTTTACGACCTTCTTGCTACAGTTGTTAAGTGTATCACTGCTAAGTTAGTAACCTGGGGGTTGAAAGAATCTGGCTTCCCGATTGATTTTGCTTGTCAGAAGATCGCAAAAGGGGATCACATGACTTTGTGACATAACAATGGTCAAAAATATGAACCAGTTGCCAAGCATCTGAATTTTGATCAAATGATCATGGGGATGTTGCCCAAGGTGGTAACTATGAAAAATGGTCATAAATCACATTTTTCAATGCCATTCTAACTTTGAACAGTCACTAAACAAACTGTTGTAAGTCAAGGACTACCTGTATTTTGAAACAATTACAATAAACTAAGGAAAAAATAAAACAAGAAAGGTGGAAAAGCTTAACTACAAACACTACACCTCATCCACTGGCAATTTTGGTGGCCAGGAAACGTGGAAAACTATGTCCGGAGTTGTGCTGTATGTGCCACCCTGAAAAGAATTCCGGGAAAACCCCCTGGGTTATTACAACTGGTGGCAGACCCTTCCCAACCATGGGAAGAAATTGTTATGGATTTTATAGTAGACCTACCTGAAAGTAGGGGAAATATGGTCATCTGGACTGTGACAGATCTGTTTTCAAAGCAGGCTCACTTTATTGCCTGCAAAGGACTCCCGTCTGCCCAGCAACTAACAAAGATGTTCCTGAAACACTTCTACAGACTGCATGGTGCACCAAAATGAATAATCTCTGACGGGGGTGCAGTTTACAGCTAAGTTTTGGAGGAGTTTTCTTAAACTAATCGGGTCATCTCAAGGACTATCATTGGCCTTTCACCCGTCTACCAATGGGGCATCTAAATCCGCAAACTCAATGGTGGAACAATACCTCCGATTCTATGTGGATTATCAACAAATGAACTGGACTGACCTCCTCCCTTTCGCAGAGGTGGCTTACAATAACTCTGTTCACAGCAGCACTGGCTTCACGCCTTTTAAAATGGCCAAAGGGAAAGAGTTCAGCCCAATACCTGAATATCCTCAGGGACCCTCCGCTTCCAAAACTCTTGATCAGTGGGTGAGGGGGTGGGGAGAAGTCTGGAAAAACCATGAAAACTGCTTTGAAAAAGGCTTACGAGACACATAAAAAACAGGCAGATTATAAACGGGCTCCTCAAAGGACATTCCAAGTTGGGGAAAAGGTTTATTTGTCCACAAAATATTTACGACTTAAGTTACCTAGTAAGAAGCTAGGAACAAAATACTTAGGACCCTTCCCCATTGTAAAGATTATTAACCTGCTCATGGTAGAACTAAAACTTCCCAGTCTCTTTGGAAAAGTTCACCCTGTATTTCATTGTAGCCTACTGAAACCTTTTCAGGATTCCACCTTAAGACCTCCCCCTAAGAAGGCACCTGGACCTCTCCTAGTAGCAGGACAGACTCACTATGAAGTGAAGCGTATTCTTGATTCTAGAATTTTTAAAGGGAAATTGCAGTACTTAGTGCAATGGAAGGGGTATCCATTGTCTGGGTGAAATCTAGTAATGTAAAAGCTGACAGACTCATTAATAGATTCTATAAGAAACACCCTAACAAACCTAGAGGCAACCCTTAACCTATGATTTTGTTTGCATTACCGGATTTGTCCTTTTTGTAAGCGGGGGTCGGATGTCAACGCTGCTAACATCGGATGTTCTTGCTTTGACAACAGATGGAAATGCAGCTATTTTCTCTATTGCTTTTAGAATTAGTTGCTGCTGGGAGGGGGAATAGGGATGAAAGTCCAGCTAGTCATAACAATAATAACTTAATCGTGGGAACCTAAGGACTGTTAGTGTTTTGTTGGGCTGGAGAGCTGGGGAGAAAGCCCGTGCTTCAAGCTAATTGGGAATATGATTTATGACTGTTTATTGGAGGAGGGAATTGCTCTTTGTTATTTTGCATCTAGGAGAGGGGAATTTAGTTTCTGGTTTCAACTATGTAGTGCCAAAACTTTGTTTCTCGAATAAAAGATTCTTTAAGGTAAACAATACCTCGAAGTTCTTTTGAAGAGTTTCATCTATCAGAACCACGACACTCTATTTTTAAAGTATCTTTTGTAACTGACAAATAAAACAGGGCTATTAAATTTTGCAGCATTGTGTCAGCCTCTTCATCCAATCTAAGATAGAGAAGCTACCTTAGATGGATTTAGAGCACTCACTTTATGGCTTCATTTTATGGAAGTCTCTTCTTTCTCAACATTATTTAACATAGGCTTCTACTTAAGTGTGTAACCTCTAGCTGTCAGGAAGATGAGGTTAATGGCAATGTTACACTGGGAATTATATAAGACCTGTTTGATTGTACAGCCATATATCCTAACAATTCTCCATAGAAAACTATTTGTCACCTTTCCTTTTCAAGTTTTCTTGAAGTTTGGTAAATAGTTTGTGATACCTTGCTTTAATACACATCTCCAGAACACAAAGAAGGTTTGCTGTTTTAATATACCTGCAATGTAGCTATCTCAGTTTTATATTTTGACATAAAAAGCTTGATGACATACCTATAACAAAGAGAAACAGCAGCCCCCTCCATTTAGAATCCATCCATCAAACTTGTTCAGACATATTAATTTGCCTTAATTTTACACACAAAATAAAATCTCTAGCATGATAATATTGTATGTATAAGTATTTTTTCTGCTAAATATTGAAGACTGAATCATGTACCAACTGCAGAATGGACAAAAAGAAATGGGCTTATTCAAGCTTAATGTACATAAAGTGCTAAATTATAATCTGATTTGTTAGTTTAGTTTAGCATTTTGTGTAAACCTTGCATACTGTATAAACCAAGTTACCAATGGAGACTATATTGAGAGCAAATGCTCATAAATGTTCAAGGAGACTCTTTCTCCTCAATTCTGACTGAAAATATCAGGATTATGCTTACCAATCACCAATATATAATTTTTGACTGTACCTAATCTTTATAGACTAATTTAGGCAGATGTTTGTTATTTACAAATATTCACTAGACCAGAGTGTACATCATCCATGTCACTTTGTGTTATTCGTGTAATATCATCATTATAGAAATGCCACATAACCTCATTTTAATCAATGTGTGTCATTTGCATAATGCCATCATTATGCAAATGAAATTAATTGGAATAGAATGGTCCATTTCATGCAAAGCCTGTAGCTTGAAGGCTGTTACGAGTGTAGTGATGAATATGTAACTCTTGCTAAACTATATTGTTGACTCAATTCTACTTTGTCTCCACTTTTTCATTTTATCTTTGTTATATGACTCTAAACATTTCTCCTATTTTAGCTTAAGCTTTATGATCCAAAGGTCATAAACACTATTTGTAGGAAACAATTCCCTTTTGCAGTCAAAACTGACACTCTTATGCGGTAGTAAGTGAATGGTAGGCATGTCTAATTAGGAAAAAGGATCCTAGTTTAAAAAAAAGCAGGAGGCTTCCAAGACACTTTCATGTTCAGAAACCATAAGGAACAAACAAAATAATAAAAAGACTCAATAAATAACCTTCCAAGCTAAGATTGTGCTCCTTCACACTTTCCATTTCCATAGCTCTGACCTTGGTTAAATGAATGGCAGATGTTCAACCTTTTTCATCTCATGGCACACATCTCATAGGTGAGACTTCCTTGAAGCCTCCTTTGCAAACAAAAGGAAATCTGGAAAATCTTTTTAGGGCCATTAATCTGTTGGTAATTTCTTTTGTTCAGTTTGAGATCAAAAGCTATTAATCCAACCCAATCACATAGTCACTCCCTTTATCTCTTTTTGACTCTTTTCCCCCCTATCATGAACAAAAGACTTTCAAGAGTCTTTTCCCATGAATTCATGAGATACAGAGTCTAACAATTTAGCTGTAAGTTTTCTAAAAACTACTGATTATCGTGAAACAACTTCTAGCACTATGTAGATAGCTGTTGTGACTTAAATTAACTAGCTGATATATTTAACTAAGATTTGAAGGCATTTGTAAAAGCAGGAGGGAGCAATGAAAGAATTGTATGTCAGGTATCTTTTCTATTATGACAACATGTCAATGGCAGGAGAAAGTATTCTCTGTAATACTTATGAATATATTAAAGATTGGGAATTTATCACCTGCTGTGTAGGGATGCATATGTTATTATTTGAAAAGTCTGTTGCAATTTTCTTTTTATGGTCCCTACAACTGACTTTAAGTGAAATAAAATCATCAAGTCACTTCAGTGGTTGCTGATTCAATTTGTTTAAGCACAAGTAACCATTAATAATTATAAATCGATTACTAACCTATACTACACTTCCAAAGTGAAAAAAATCCCACTGAGAAAACATCTTTTTAAACAAATAAGTAAAATGAGCAGTTGCCATATGGCAAGGAATTCATATTTCAATCATCTTTTTGTTTCATATACTAGCAAAATTTAAAATACAATTGGCTAAATATGGAAATGTAATTTGTATAAAGAATCAATTATATTCTTAAGTTTAAATATTCTTTTCTTTCTGGCTATACTTATATATTATTGTACCTAAGATGTTTACCTTGGGCAATGTGTTTCTCTTCTAGTAAAAATCTATGAATAACATTAGGGAAACATTAGTAGGATAAATGATTTAAAACCTTTTCTTAGAATGGATTCTTATTCAGATGTCCTGAGAAAATGATACCTCACCCGTAGAAAGGAGTCAAGGGATCCATTCTCCATGTATTCAACCACTATCATTAGTGGTCTACCTGAAAAAAATACCAGAACAATGTATTAGGATTACAGATATATTAAAAATGTGTTATATTTCCAGCTATTGTGAAAAGATTAGTTGTGTTGCTAAAATTTATTTTTGTGTTGCTAAAATATATTATTTCCCAATTCTTTTCTGTAGCAAAGAAGCTCTACAAAGTACAAAAATACAAAATGGTATATCCTCCACATGAGGTTGCCCTTGAAGATCACCCTGAAGCTTTCATTGGTCCAGTATATAGTGAAGCAAGCAGCAATGGGCATGCCTTGCTTTGCAAGCTGCACGGTCACTGGTTTGCTTCTGGGTGCAATTCTATATTAATTACTTTATTGATTAGCCCATGAGCCATATCAAGGTGCAGAGTTCCAAACACAGGTTATTACTAAAATGCAGTAAAAACCATTTAAAATGGAATTGGTTAAAATACAATTTAAAAGGAAATTGAAATAAAATACAGTTTAAAATGAAATTAGAATCAAATTCAGCAATTTAATATGTAGATAGTTTAGTTTAGTTTTATTAAATTTATACCCCGCCCTTCTCCCGAAGGACTCAGGGCGGCTTACAGCCAGTTTAAAAACAATAATACAATACAATACAAAATTTAGATAAATTTAGATAGATAAATTATGATAAAATTAGATTTCATTATCACCCCTACAATCTACCCCAATCAAGTCTCACATATGCCGATCTCAGCCAATCTTAGCTCAGGTACTGTGCTATCTTAAATGTAATTTTCAAATTCAGGCCACACATAAGGTAAGTTATTTTGATATGGAGATCCCAATGGGTCGTTCGTTTAATGTATGGGCCAAGGTTTGCTTCTGGGTGCAATTCAGAGTGCTGGTAGTTACCTAAGAAGCCATACATGATATAGGGCCTAATTACTAGAGGTACTGCCTGTCTCCCTTAACATCTTCCTCATTTAATCCTGCAGGGTTGAAGCACTCTGGTTTCCTTTGATTAAAAATATCGTAAATCAATACCCTGGAAGTGTGTCTTCTCTGTAACAGTGTCTGCCCTCTAAAACAAGATCTCCTCCAACACCTGGATGGCCTCCAGTCTGCTGTTGTTCAGAAGAGCTGTGGAGACCAGTCTCTTCACCCCAGCCTTTGGTGAGGAAGAGTGAGACCCCTTGCTTCATTGCACTTGCCATTTTTATCTTTATTTTTTATGTTTCAATGTAATTTTGTTGGTGTGACCTGCCCAGTCTTTAAAAGTTGGGTGGCAAACAAGTTTAACAAATTATTGTTATTTCATTATTTTATTATGTCCAAACTACATATTATTTGTTATAGCCAGTAGTGGGATTCAAATATGTGAACAATCGGTTCTCTGTGTGGATGCTGCTTCCGGAAGTCCATTATAGCAGGGCTTTTCAACCTTTTCACCCATTGTACCACTTTTAGGATATGGCAACATCCGAATACCACCAGTCACCTAGCAAGGTGTCAAAAAATTTGATGGCCAAAAAAAAAGAAAGAAAAAAGTGATAAAATACAGGTAGTCCTTGACTTACAACAGTTTGCTTAGTGACGGTTTGAAGTTACAATGGCACTGAAAAAAGTGCCCCCCAAGGCACAGCCAAGCAAGACATCTGCCTGCCCACCCAGCGGCGCTCTTCCTCCTGTCCAAGGTTTTCATTGTTGTGAGCATTTCTGTTGAGGATTGGCAGCGGGTGTCGGGTGTGGGGGGTGTTTGGTTTTTATTCCCCCACGTCTGCTGGGTGATTGCAGCAGGTTTTGGTCACTTCACATGACCCCGGGACACTGTGATCGTCATAAATATGAATCAGTTACCAAGCATCTGAATGTAAATCACAAGACCCTGGAGATGCTGAAACATTCCAGCTGATCGGCGCTTCTTCTGGGCTCAGCAGAAGCACCAGGATCAGCGCCGAGCTCCAATTGGAGCCTGGCACTGATCCTGGCGCTTCCACTGAGCCCTGACAGCCCCAAAGAAGCGCTGATCCTGGTGCTTCCGCTGAGCCCTGACAGCCCTGCAGCTCCAGCCATCTCTCGCTCAGGCTTGTGCGGTGCTGCCACTGGTTCAACTCATTCCCCTCCCCCGCTACCACTTTTCTAGGATGGTCGTGTACCACCTGCCAGGTGCCAATGTACCACAGGTGGTACCCGTACCACTGGTTGAAAAGCCCTGCATTATAGGTCTGGGCAACAAAAAAATTAGCTACCGGTTCTACCGAATTGGTGCAAACTGGCTGAATCCCACTACTGGTTATAGCAGTGAAGGAAGACATAAACTGAAGTTTATGCTACATTTTTGTTTCAACAGCTTCAGTAAAAGGCTAATATGTATAATCCATACTCTTCAGCATTTAAAAGTCTGCTAAAAGGATTTCTATGTAAGTTTTGTAACAATTGAAGCCTTTGGGACAGACCACCATAAATAGATTCCACAGAAAGATGAGGACTACACCTTATTCGGAAAGTTGTAATACCAGAACGTTGCAAGACTGATTCTGCTTTCCCCCTTTCCCTCTTATGTCCCACTGAATCAGAGAGGGGTATACCTGAGTTTCTCTTTAATGCTATCTTGTTTCCTGGCACTTAAGGAATATTTCAACTTTCTTTGTTTGCATAATAGTTCTTGCCTATTTTCCTCAAGATCATATCCTTTAGCCTCTGCATAACAGTAGCCCTTCCACTAGATGTAATATCTTTAGATGATAAAGATCATGTGCTACTGCTCTACTGATAAATGACAGCAATCCCTGTACCCCAAAGATCAGTTTCCCCCCCCTTTAGCTACAGTAATCTAGGGAATAATATCAAATCACCAGTGTTGAAATATGGCTCAGGTAGTAGTATATATAATCTATTGATGTTGTTTACTTTACTGCAGTTAGCCATAATTGTAATCATGACTATAAATGTACATATACATATACATATACACATACACACATAGATGGACATATATACATATACCAACCCCAAAATAAAAAATAAATATATAATAAAAGTTATAATACAATATCAAAATATTTAATGCATTAAAATTAGTAATATTTTAAGATATAATTCAATGGAAACATGTTCTCAGTGAGACTAGATGATGACTTTTCAAAGTTTCAGACCTGAGTTTTCTCTGTGAAAAAGGCTGGGATTAAATCTGAGACATTCTGTGTTCAATTGTTCTGCATTCATGAATGGTCTTTATTCTTGAGTGACAGTCTTTCATTTCAAACAAAATGTATCATTAACATTCAGTATTTGAGACAAATGTATCCATATCACTTTGGTACTAATTTTGCTTTCCTTATTTACTTGAGAAGCTTTTACTGTTGGTATTCAGGAATAAACTATTACTCTACATAGAAAAATGGTCCAATTTACATGCTAATCAGGGCATCCCATCAGATGTTATTTAGGTAATGCTAATAATACAAAGAAGTGTATAATATATGCAGAACTACTGTAATGGATAATCTTGCATGCAGGGTTGAAAAGAATATAATAAAACAACATACACATTTGTGGGAATGAATCTATTCTGTTTAAAATGAACATCAGATAAAACAATAAAAAAAGAACATGGGTACTTCCAGGGAATTGTATCTACATCTTGCCTGCTATTATTTTTCATTACTTCTGCCCAGAGATATAAATAGATATATACAATATGGCCTGTCATAACCTAACTTGGAATTTTATGCTTCTAGCAATCTCCTATTAAATATTTTTTAGCTTTATTTGTGAATTGAAACATGTTTTAGGTAACTAACCAAGCCAAAACCAAAACTCAGGTATTATTTAATCCATAGAAAGGCCTGCTACACTGAAATAAATGGAGGATTACTTGACAGCAGAAATAAGAATAGCTGGTGGAGGAATCTTTTGGAAATGTCAATAAGTAGAATTAAATAAGGAATGGATTATGCAAGGAAGTATCAGTGATATTCAATAGGCAGATTTTATTAGAACCTATCATCATCATTATTATCATCACCATCAGCATCCATTCTGATTACTATGTTCCATTTTTAACCACGTATTCTTGGCTATATGGAATCTATTTATAAGACTCACATCTTCCATAAAATAAGCAATTCATGGCACTTCAGACATTATTGAACTATAATTCCAAAAATCGTTAGGAAGAAAAGACTGATAAGGATTATTAGAAACAATTGAGGGTTACACATTGCCTATTCCTGTTATAACTACTATACTCAGTCTGTTAGCATATGGAGGAAATAATAAGATTGGGAGAATGATAGGATAGGGTATTGTTTTCTAATAATACTTCTAAACATGTTCTAAAGCGTTTTAGAATTTATTTGGTATAAAGGTATAAAGTTAATTACTTCATCTTTCTCTGCTTTCACAAACAAGTATGGGATTCTTCTGGATTTCTCCTTGTAAGCCACTTCTCACACAGTGTATTTAAAATATCAGAAGATCAGATGGACCACCAAGGCTTAACAAGATTTAAATCCTAACATTTTTTCAAGCCTTTGTGGACCCCCCTGTGATGACATCATGGACCCCCAGGGACCTGTGGACAACAGGTTGAGAACTACTGCTTTAGCCCATATATAGAAAATAATGATTTTCATAACTTTCAAAAAAATATCATTTGCATATAAAAAATTAGTTTACCCAGTACATATAGCATCATATATAATGAATTCACATTTGACTCAAAGAATTATTTAAAAGTTACATGATGTTGCTTTAGGACTAAACACAAGCAGGCCTGGCTGTGTGTAAACTTTATAAATGGAATATAGTTGGTAGTATATGTAAATTCTCTGCTTTCTTTGAACAATTGTGGTTTAAACATGATGACATAAAATATTTTGCTGTCTGTTTATTTTAGATACACTAGAAGTATTTCTTAGCTATTTTATATACCATGCAATCTTTTCTAGGGTATTTAACAGATGGCTTACACTTCTGCTATTAACAATATGATGATCTTGCCTTATTTTTTAATAACCTCTTGTTGACATTCTAGCAGCTAAAGAAA